ATCAAGATGCCAGCCAGGGTTGCAGTCAACTGAAAGTGTGACTGGGTTTAGCAGATTTGCTTCCAGGTGCCTCCGTCACATGGCTAGCAAGTCAGTGGTAGTTTTTGGTGGGAGACTTTGCCCCTCAGGGCTGCTAAAGTGTCCTCATAAGGTGGTGGCTGGCTTTCTCCAAAGCAAGTGATCTGAAAATGGTGGGGGAAGAGCAGGTGGAAGCCATCTCACCTACAAACTGGCCTTGGAAATCACATGGCATCACTTCTCTTACATTCTATTCATTAGAAAGGAGTTACTAACTTGGGTACAGTTAAAGGGAAAGGGAATTAAGGCTCCATCTTTAAAAAAGAAAAAAAATGCCAAAAATTACAACATATTTTAAAACCTCTGAAGTGCCCAAGAAACTACCAGCTATTTTAACTACCTGTACTAGCCGAAGGGGCGAAGGGGAGGAAAGCAAGGGGAAAGGGAGAGGGACCACGAAGGTCGGCTTCTTCAGCAACAACACGTTTCACGGATTAATAACGTGAAGACTTCAAAACTTAGAAGACAACACAGGGAAACTAAATGGCTCCAAGAACTTTCCACTGGTCCAAGTAGTTCACAGAATTCAGTTTTGTTTTGTTTTTTAAAAAATGTCCTTATACAACAGCAGGGACAAGCAAGAGACGAATTCCCAAAGTAATCTTCAAACTAAAGGGTTTGCACAGAGATCATTTGTTTTTTTTTGAAAAAATTTCCTTATTACGCCGTTGACTAGTGCCAATAAAAACTTATGTGCAAAAATAATACATCTTAAGAGTAAGACACTTCACAATTTTCAATCATCTTTCAATTCCCTTTGGGAAGGTGAGTAGTTGGTATTCTCCAACCAGAAACATTGAAATGCTTCTGAAATCTTTAAAGAGCATCATGTGGCTTTTGTGTCACTTCAAGCACTGTGAGAAAACAAGAAAATTATGAAAACAAATTGGGAAACAGAGAGCAGGGTTCAACCTCTTGTGGCTTCTTTGGACGAGGCCAAAAGCCCTTGGATGGGAACAGCCTGAATTCCACTGAGCATGGATCATGGAAAGATATGCAACACTACTGTTTTACTTATCTAGTAATTTTAAATTTCTAGTAAAATTAAATGTCATAATACTGCACATACAAGCTGACCAAAACCCCAGATATACTGTACTCACTCATGACTGCAGAAACCCTATCAAGTCCCAGCAGCCTGTAAGGAGCCCAGAAGGATCTGAGTTTGTCCCAACATTTCTGAGATATAAACACAGTAACTACTATTGTGGCTTCATCTGGGAACCACCAAAGTCATCCCGTGGGTTACAGCGCTGGGAGTTTATATTTGATGGCTCCATTTATGAATACTCAAGATTAGTGAATATTTAACAGTTATTCTCAGAAAGTTTCCCAGGTTAGAACCCATTTAGTCAACATGTAGCGATTGACTCAACATTTGGTGAACTCCCACCTTATGTTAGGTAGAAGGTAAGTTCAGAGTAGCTGCAAAGAGCAAAGTTGGGGTCAGCCTTGTTCTCCTTCCATTCCTTGTTAGGTATGGTACCCTGAGAAAGTCAGTCTGGCTCTCTAAGCTTGAGTTTCATCATCCATACAACAGGGATAATGGCATTTAGCTCATAGGATTGTTTGGTTTAGCTTAGTAGAGCATCAACACCCAAAGAAAGTCATTTCTTCCAAGTGGTATTTTCCTAGCACCCTCCTCACACTAGATCAGATTCTCCTTAGTATTTCATCTTTGTACCCTGTAAGTGTTCCTTTACAGTGCTTTACAGTTTCTGATTACAAATACTTTCCATTTCTCCCACTGAACTGTAAAATTCATAAAGGTAGAGACTCTGCCTGATTGTGGCATAACCCCAACACTCAGAGCGGCAGCATGTTGTAGGTGCTCAATCAATATCTGTCTGAACAAACTAAGAAACAATGTTATAAATACACAAAATACAAAAAGGAAAAACATAGTATTAGTCCTTATCAAAAAGTTCATAGTCCAGTGCAGCAGTTTTAAATACTAGCTGCAAGTCTGAATTTCCTGGGGAGTAGTATTTTTTCAGTACCAATACCTGGGCCCTATCCTGTAATAACTCCAGGGTGTGGGCTTGAGGGATGCCTGCTTTTGTTTTTTGAGTTCTTCAGGTGATTCTAGTCAACAGCCAGGGTGAAAATCACTGATCTAATCCAAGGGAGATGGTTAGCAATTATAATACAAATGAGATACATGTTCTATGGTATCACAGACTAAAAAAGAGCTTCCTGTGACGATGGAGAAGTTTCTATGCACTGTCCAATACGGTAGCCACTGGTCACATGTGGCTACTGAGCCTTTGAAATGTGGCTACTGAGATGGAAGAACTGAACTTCAAATTGTACTTTTAATTAGTTTAAAATTTTAAACTATATGTGACTGGAGGCTACTCTAATGACTAGTAGTAGACCTAGGAGGAAAGCACACAAAAGCATTTATACTCTAGGCTGGAGGGATTCAAAGTTCAGCTAGCTGTGGCCCGTCCCACTCCCAAGCAGAGTACTACCTAGGCAAGGGGATGGCACCCAAATACTGCATGCACCCCTTGAACTCTCCTCCTTATACCCACACAGAAACAACTTCTTCCTCCTGTCAGATCCAGGGCAGCTGTGGCCAAGGAAACCCTTCAAAGAACAGGATGAAGCACATTCCCAGGTCAAAGGGCCTTTGTGTGAGCTGCTGGATGGATGATGTGGTCATATGGCCAAGGGACGAAATGAATGCATCTTGAGCAAGAACATTCGGGGAAAAAAAGAGTCACACGGAGCAGGGAGCATGGTCAATATGGCAGCACCTCGAGCTGCAAAGCAAAGCAAGGTCTGCTTTCAGAGGCACACAGGGGAGAGCCTCCAGCGCCAACCGTTACATTTCAGAGAGCTGACAGTTCTTCCAGAGGCAAATCATGGCTCATTAAGCTATTTATAAAAGAATCATTGAATTAAAATAGAGAAGGTACACATGCTGTTGATCTAGTTGCTCCTTCTCCCATCTACCATTTGTTAAGCACCTACTATGTGGCAGGCAGTGTAGTATTAGGGACCTTAAACGTCCTCTTGCTTTGCTCATACAATACCCTGCAGATTAGATATTATTTTCTTACTTTATGTTGAGGAAATGTAACTCATGGAAGTTAAATAATTTACTTGACTTCAACAAGTATGACAAAGCTAGAATTCAAACTGAGACCTGCACTACTCGAGTTTCCCTTTTAAGAAATGTGTGTAGTGTTCTGTTATATAGATATACCATTGTTTATTTGACAAATTCCATTTTTTTCTGTTTTTCCAAATCATAATCAAGGCTTCAGTGAACCATCTTGTATATACATTTAAAATATATTTTTTGTTGGTACACAACATACATACCTATTGGAAACTACACAGATGCCAAGTACAGCATTTGACGAATTGTCAAAAAGAGAACTTAAACATGTAACCGCCACCCAAACCAAGAAGCAGAACAGTATCAGCACCTCAGAAGTTATGTATCACCCCACAAACCTTGTGTCACCTCCTCGTATTTATCCCATTTGCCTCCCCTAACGGCTAATACCTATAAAGGGTCTAATACATTGTGGGAGTTCATGAAAACAAAGTGAAGAAAGACGTTGCAAATTCGGTACCTAACTTAGGCCGTGGCTTAAAACATTTGGTTATAATTAGACAACTACTACTGATCAACCTCAATGAGAAGTTAGGTTTTATTGGATATAGAGTAATTAGAGCAAAATATAAGCACTAGGGTATAAAACGCTAACAACTAATGCTATAGAATGTCTCAAGGCCTGGGAGTTTTAAAGAACAAGACTATTAGGTTTCCAGTTTAGTTAGGTTAGTGATTCTCAGCTCTGATGAGGGGAGAGGGTCATAAAATACCTGAATAAAGTTTTATCTTGCTTACGCTCCTTTTAGTTCTATAATTTCATACTAATAAAGAGGAATTGGCATTTTACTGAACTCTATGACCTGGCAGGCCCATTATAGATGGCAGCTCATTAAATCCCTTCAGTAATGCCCTAATACCACCATCCCCGTTTTACAGATGAGAAAGAGGTTCAAAAAAGTGAAGTCACCAGCTCAAGGTCACCCTGCTAGTAAGTGGGTTAGCAAGGACAAAACCCCACATGTGTCCAACTTCAAAGACTGCTCTATGAAAGTCTGCTGCCTTGCCCTCCCGGATTTTCTATGTGGCTACAGACAACTGATTTCATAAAGAAGCACCCTCTGTATAGTGAGCTTGTACTGCAATAATGGTAAAAAACATGTGAGTCCGAAACTCTGAAACACATTTTGTTTCTAAGTCTCTCCTTCCTTGCCGCATTGGAGCCTGTGTGTGTGTTTTTTAGTTTGGTTTGTCTCCTCTAATAACGGACAACATACTTTTGTCTCCAAGTTGACAAATTCACTAGACCAAAGCTACAACATTTATTTACATAGGTTACCTGGCATCCCTTCCAGCCAAAGAAAAGATGATGGTTGGCAGATCTGCCCAGGTCTAAATTTAACCCTGCCCCTTCTAACTTTCATCCTGTGCTCATTGCCAGTAATGATTTTCAAATGTGTACAGATACACTCTAGAAGGGAAAGATTCATGTGTTTAACTGAGGTCACTGAATTATAGGTTGACCTATACAGAGATTTTATATATGTCACTTGTGACAAAATTACCTGTAACTCTATTAAGTTCCTAATGTATAATGAAATGCACTGCAATTAATGTTTTTTTCTTCTTTTTAACTGAGAAACACTAGCAGGGTTGTATTAGAGACATCTCTATATAGCTGAGATGCCTCTGTGTACTAGATAGAGACATAGTAAAAAAAGGAGGAAAACAATTTCTTTCACCAATTTATTTTGCCATTTGTATCGAATCGTCTATAAATGTAACATCTTACCAAAAAAACCTCTTTAGACATTATTTATAATTCACATTATCTGATTTGTTAAGTGCTTACCTTGACCAGAATTATATATTGCTTTTACAGACTTCTTCACTTTTTGTAGGGCTGTTCTATCTTGGTCTAGAGCCTAAAAGAGAAAAACGGGGGAAAAGATATTGAAAACTTTGGTACATGTAAAAAACACTAAGATAAACTCATTCATAACAGCAAACACTGATTTATTTATTAACAGTGAACCATTTCAGAGACTGCAAGTGCCCTGGCTTTGAGTAGCTGTGTTTTCAGAATAAATGCAGAGTCATTCCACAAAGCTCAGTGTTGTGTGAAATGGACACATGACAGTCAATTATCATGCATGCATAGGAAAAAAAAATACAAGACACCTAAGAAATCTTAAGGCATGTTTCCTTCTCTCATGAGCTTACAACTTGGTGAGGGAGAAGGGCAAGTATTAGAGAGATTAACGGCACAATACCCAGGGAACAGAATGCACTTCATCACCCAATGGTAGTTTCAGCCAGAAAGAAACAATTAAGGGGGTATAATAAGTAGAAATGGCCTGACAAATTTTGTATGTGCTTTTAAGATTGAGGATTTCTTTTAGTGTCAGAAAAAATTTAACTATGACAAATGGCAGTTGCATTTTAAAAATCTTTTTACTAAAAAAGCACAGTATGGAAAATGCTGTCAAGATGCTGGTAATGTTTTTAAATGATTTCTTAGGTTATGAATCAATACATCTACATTAATCTACGTGTGCTGTAGGTGGGGGGTTTCTAGGGGTCTATTGCTGCTGATTCTTAAAATCTGGGTGCTAAATATACAATTGCATTTCATTTCATAAAATTCAGCAAACTGTACACTGAGAATATCTAATCTTTTCTATATGTGCATTAGACTTGAAAAACAAATTTTCAAATGGATGTAGCAGGCCAGGCTCGGCGGCTCAGCTTGTAATCCCAGCAATCTGGAAGGCCGAGGTGAATGGATTGCTGGAGCCTGCAGGTTCAAGACCAGCAACTTGGCAAGACCTAGTCTCTACAATAAAAATAAAAAACAGCTGGGCATGGTAGCGCGCCTGTAGTTCCAGCTACTCGGAAGACTGAGGCGGAAGGACTGCCAGAGCCTAGCAGGTCGACGTTGGGGTAGCTGTGAGCGTGCGTGCCACTGCACTCCAGCCTGGGCGAAGGAGTGAGACTCCAACTCAAAAAAAAAAAGAAAGGACGTAGTCAATATATGTAAATGGCACTCTGAATTAACTTCTTAAAATGCCTTCATCAAGCCCCTCTCTGCTTCCTCAAGGGTCTGTGATCCACAGGTTTGGAACCCCTAGATGATGTGTCAAGATTTGGAGGCCATAACGCAATAATAAACATGATATATAATATCTTAAAACATAAAATGTGTGCACTCATACTGGGTGTGGTGACTCATGCCTGTAATCCCAATACTTTGGGAAGTTGAGGTAAGAGGATTGCTTGAGCCCGGGAGTTTGAAACCAGCTTGTGCAACATAGCAAGACCCTATCTCTACAAAACAATCAAAAAAATTAGCCAGGTGTGGTGGCATGGCTATGGTCCTAGTTACTTGAGAGGTTGAGGTAAGAGAACTGCCGGAGTCCAGAAGTTCGAGGCTACAGTAAGCTGTGATTGGCACCACTGCACTCTAGACTAGGCAACAAAGTGAAGACCTAACCTCTTTTTAAAAAATGTACTCACAGGCATTACGTCATCTAAACCTCAGACCTACAGATGAGAAAAATGAAGCCCACAGAGGTTAAGTACCTCCCTGAAAATCAAACAGGGAGCCGGGCTCGGTGGCTCAGCCTGTAATCCCGCGCCTTTGGGAGGCTGAGGTGAGTGGATTGCCTGGGCCGTGGGTTCGAGACCCGCCTGGGCAGTGAGACCTCATCTCTACAATAATCAAAAAATCAGCCGGGCGTGGTAGCGCAT